CCGCTTCGCATCCGGGAACTCGGCGCCCGTGACGTCACGGGCCCGTGCCTGGTAGGAGGGGCGGAGCCTCTTTGCCCATAAAAGGAGAGCAGGAAGGGCGAGAGGAGCCCGGAAAGGCCGCACGTGGGAGGCAGGAGGGGGAAGAGCGAGGCCGGCGAGCGGGAGGGCGGCGGCGGCCCTGGCCCTGGCCCTGCCTTGGGGAAAGGGAGCCCCGGGATTCCGCCAGGCTTTGAGGCCTTGCCGGGCGGGGGACGAGGGTAACGACCCATCATCCAGGGTCGTTGGGCATGGCGGCTGGAAGGGGGGGATGCTGGGAGTTGTGGTCCCAAATATTGGAGGAGGTCGGGGCCGGGCTGGAACCCGGGCGGGGCAGCGGAACCGCCCAGAGAGTCGTTCTTTCTGCCCTAAAGCCTGCCCTAGTCTCAAAAGTTGGAAGTCTCCGTTGTAAGGTCTCGATTCAGGCGGGAGTCCCAAAGAAAAGAAAGAGGAGCGAAAAGGCACACACCCCCAGGACTCGTTTGGGCCACTCACTGGGCTGTTGTTCAACATGGCCTCTTCCGCCTCCTCCTCTGGAAGCAAAATGCTCCCTGCGGAAGGGAGGAGCTGAATGGGAATCCTCATGGGTGGGTCTGCTCTGAAGAAGAGGGAGCCTGTGGGCCCATAGGAAGGAGTGAGCCCTTGTGAGCTCTCTGCTCCTTCCTCCCCCGTGGTGGTCGTGAGAGGTGAGCAAAAGAGTCTGGAGAGTTGTAGATACACATGTGTAAGGGAAGTTATTGGGTGGTGGCTAAGTGGTCACAGATTGTTACATAACAAAGTTTTTTTTCTCTTTAAAAAAACAGATCTAGAGACAATGGCCCTGAAGGAATGGACCCCGATGGTGTCATTGAGGTGAGTGCTCTTTTCTCCCCTGTGTGTGCATGTGGTAAGCAGGAATGGGCACCCATGGGGATGGCCTTTGGGTGAAGAGGCTGCTGTGACTCCTGAGTAGAGTCCTGACTTTGGGGCAGATTCCAGAGAGCTGGAAGAGGAAACCAGAGAGGGTTTTGCCATGTGGGATAAAGAAGCTGTTCTATTTTGAGGGCGTCTCCCATGTTGGTCACTGACACTTCAGTTTATATCAGAACTCCTCAGTTTGATTGTTCTGGATCAGGTAAGTTGTAGGCCAGGAACACCCAGAGGGGGCCCACCATTGCCCACCTTATCTGGAGATGGGCAGGCACATCTTAGTGGTCGAGTAAACCCAGCAGGGGAGCGGTGGGGTTTGAGAAATCTGGATCGGACGAGCGTATTTCTCTGCGAGGCAGGCTCATGGACCTCTTCTGTTTGCAGAGCAACTGGAATGAAATCGTTGACAGCTTTGATGACATGAACTTGTCAGAGTCACTTCTGCGAGGAATCTATGCTTATGGTTTTGAGAAACCCTCTGCCATCCAGCAGCGAGCCATTCTCCCTTGTATCAAGGGTAAGAAGACACAAAGACCGCATACCCTTTTATCTCTTCCTTTAAAAGAAAAGAGAGAACAGCAGGCTGGGTGTCCAGTGGCTTGAGGATAATAGAAATCAGCTCTCTGTTTCAACTGCTCCCTTCAGTCTGTGGTGCTGAAAGTGCTCACACAGAAGGAGACCAGTCTCTGGGATACGTTACTGACTGAGATAAATCAGGATCCTTTCCTTCTGTTCAGGCAGTTGTTGAAAGCAGACTTACGCAAAGCAGTTCCCAGATGCTGTTATTTTTAAAAAACAAATTTTTGTTTTTTGCTTGTACAAATTTTTAATCCTCATATTGTCACATTTGTGTTACATGAGGCTTGGGATAGTTTGAATTTTAACTTCTAAAGTAAACAAAGGACTACGTGTAATAATGGGGCGGTGTATAAGTCACATATATAAGTCCATATAACAGTTGTATTTATGATAGGCCTGTGGAATCTGCAGGGATTTGGTGAGTCAGTTCCTCCACAAGATCCATTGATCTAGTGGCCTGCTATACTAAGCTGCAGGATTTCAGCCTTCGGTTAACGAAGAGGTGTTGTTAGTGGAGACACTAGTCAAGGGTGATGTTGGTTAACAGTGGTGTCATCACTCTTGCCTTGCTTTTTCATGCCCTTCACGCCATTCCCCTGCTAACTGGGCAAAGCACCACTTGTGAAATTGGTGGCTGTTTTACATCTAGCCAGGGGAACAGGAAGGATCCCTGTTCATCCCAGCGTAGCCTCTCTTCCAGTGGCTTCTGTCTGGTTCATGCTGGGGAAACAAAAAGGAGTTTTGCTTTGCCAGCTGCTCCTTTAGCAGCTCTCTGTTCTGGTTCTTCCAAAGTGACCTGATTTCTTTTCTTCCCTGCACAGGTTACGATGTGATCGCCCAAGCCCAGTCTGGAACTGGGAAAACGGCCACTTTTGCCATCTCTATCCTTCAGCAAATTGAGCTCGATCTGAAGGCCACCCAGGCCCTGGTGCTGGCCCCTACGAGAGAGCTGGCTCAGCAGGTAAGCCCGTATTGGAGGGCAGAGAGATGGCCTCTTTGCCCAGGCTGGCTGTCGGGTGGCCTTCTGTGCCTGCCTGAGGTAGTGGCCAGACTGGCGTGGTCTTTCTCCATTAAGCAACCATCCTGGGCTATAACTCACAAAGTTCCTCAGCCCTCCTGGCTGTGGGAGTTCCTAGTTCACGAAAGCAGCTTCTCAGGTGCCCAGGTAACCTCCCTTGGGCTCTTCATGGGAACCTGTAAAGTGGTGCCTGGCTGGTCTTCTCCCGAGGCCATTCTGGTTGTGGAACTACAGACATGGCTCTCTTTGAGAGGCCGGACTCCTCCAGCCATGTAGCATTTATGTCTCTCATGTTCAGAAGACGGTGGTCTCCTGGTTTTCCTTTCAGGACTGACACACAACACACACACACCCCTGGTAACTGGGCAAAGAGGCTCCTTAAACAGTGGTGCACTCCTTATATCTTGCAGGGGGACATGAGATCTTTCCCTGTTCATCCCAGCACAGGGTCTCTTGTGGCTGTTGGCTGGTTCATGCTGGGGGAACAAGCCTTGAAAACTGCGAAGGCAGAAAAACAAGGCTGAGGTGCAGGGCTTTCAAAGGATATTGGTGCTAAGTTTTCTCAAAATGATCTGGTGTATTTAAAGTCTGATTTATTTTTTACAAGCTGCCTTAATTCCCCCACGGGGAGGAAGGTGACCTATCAATAATATCCATCAAAAGCAGTAGGAGAGCTTCGTGTATCTTGAAAGAGGAGCAAGCTGTTTGCGGGAAGTGTGTTTGGCATATGAGTCTGCCTGAGTAGCATTGAATGGCCTTTAAATCCCTGTTTGGAATAGAGGTGTCACAGCATGTTGTTTTTGCTGTCTTGGTACAGAGGCTTGTGTCACCTGCATCCTTGGGTCAGAAGACCAAGGTTAGGTTACACACATACACACACAGAGCGAGGCATGTTTCAGTGGGAGGAGAGGAGAGAGGGCCAGCCCAAGGCAGCTTTGCTTACCCTTCTTCCTTCCCCATAGATCCAGAAAGTGGTGATGGCTCTGGGTGACTATATGGGCGCATCCTGCCATGCCTGCATAGGGGGAACGAATGTCCGGGCTGAGGTCCAGAAACTCCAGATGGAAGCCCCCCATATCATTGTCGGGACTCCTGGTCGAGTGTTTGACATGCTGAACCGGAGATACCTCTGTGAGTAGCAAAGGGCCTGGGCTTGAGCCGCTTCTGTCTTACGTTCCTGTTGCAATACTTGAGGGTTGTGCTGCGTGCCCCATTGCAGAAGCTGGACAGGACCTCAGGGTTTGGGGGACTCCGCGCAGGTTTTGCCCTTTCCGACGCAAGGAGAGCTGGGTAAAATGGATTCCATCTGCCCTGTAGTTGCCACTTAACCTCCACAGCATGGGTTGCCAGCTTAGCAACCACAGGCCCGCTCTCTCCCTGCGGCTGTTCCATGATGATCACCTCATGCGTGTCAACTGACACCCCCCCTGCACTCTTCTTTTCCTCCTGGCCAGCGTTCTGCTGAGCTGGAGAGGAACACGGGCGTGTCTTGGGGGGAAATGATCATAGCAGAAGGATGTCCCTGAGAACAGCCAGAAGTCCAGCCTGGCGGATGCCGCTTGGCCTGTAGTTTTCAGGGGACTTGACGGTTGGGTTTTGTCCTGGCAGCTCCCAAGTTCATCAAGATGTTTGTGCTGGATGAAGCTGATGAGATGTTGAGCCGAGGGTTCAAGGACCAGATCTATGACATATTCCAGAAGCTGAGCGGGAACACGCAGGTAAGAGGGCTCCACTCCCCTGGAGTTAGGGAGACACAATCCATGAGGCAAGAGAAAGCATTTCAGGGGCATCCATTGGCGCCTGAAGGCAAAATGAGGGTTGTAATCCAGTACCCATGGAAGGTGCCAGCTTAGGGAAAGCTACCTGGCTTGCTCTTTGCTTTGGGAGGTTGTCTTGACAGACCATGCCGGGGTCTTCCACGGAGCTTTGAGATGAACACCTGAAGCTGGCCTTTCTCAAGTCCCACATCAGGGCACTGAGTCTGGGACATTGGCTCTTTCGAGGAAGGACGTTTGGTTCCTCCAGAGACGGCTGCACTTGTTGCTGTGGAAGCCAGGCTTACGAGGCTCTCCACCGAAGGGAAGGGGAGCTCAAGTCCTTTTGTTTCTCTTCTCCAGGTGGTGCTCTTGTCGGCCACGATGCCCATGGATGTCCTGGAGGTGACTAAGAAGTTCATGAGAGACCCGATCCGTATCCTAGTGAAGAAGGAAGAGCTGACCCTGGAGGGCATCCGGCAATTCTACATAAACGTGGAGAGGGAGGTGCGTGGAATGGGGGTGTGAAAGATACCAGTCTACCCAAACTTTAAATTTCTACGCAAGCATGCTAAAGGCATCCCCAGTGAGCTGTCTGTGCTTGACGTAGACTCAGTCTAGCAGCTCTCTTTCCTCCCTGAAGAATGAAATGCTTTTTGCTCCACTTGCTAGAGGTTCTTCAGGGGCACGTTCATTTTCCCTTCTGGGAAGTGCTGCGCAAAGAGCAATTGATGCCTGGCCTTGGAGAGGGAGGGCAAATGATGCGACTCTAGTGTAGGTGGTCCTTTGAGAAACAGCAGGAATTTGGGATAGAGCTTTGTCTTGTGGGATCCAGGAAACCCTTCATGTGGTCCCTTTGGCGTGGACCTTTGTGGCCCCCAAATCAGGAGGTTGGCTTGTTTTGCAGGGGAAAGGGGTGAATTGAAGTATTCAAACTCCTTCGAGAACATAAGGTTCTAACTCCCTTTTTCTTTTGCAAGGAGTGGAAACTGGACACCTTGTGTGACCTTTACGAGACCCTCACCATCACCCAAGCTGTCATCTTTATTAACACCCGGAGGAAGGTGGACTGGCTTACCGAAAAGATGCATGCCCGGGACTTCACTGTTTCGGCCATGGTGAGTGCGTAAGAAAGGGTGGTTCTTGGCTGAGTGGTCTTGAGACTCTGAGGAGCACGGTGCTCGTAGGGTTTACGAGGAGTCCAGTGGGCTGTACTGGCAGCGGCCGCTCCACACCTGGTGGCCAACTTGTTTGGACAAGACCAGAAAAGGTTAAAAATGCAGGCCATGTTGCCATTGATATGAAGGAAGCCTGTTGTTGCACAGAGAAATCATTTTCGGAGGCAGAAGCAATCGGGCAAGCTCCCCATAAGCTAGATCGGTTTCTCCTGGTCCGCTGGGCAGTTGTTTGGATGGAAGTATTCCGGGCGGGCAAGAGGCAGGAAAATAGTCTCCCCTTTTTGGAAAAGTGGATCTGAGTGGGGACTGTGGGAAGGCAGGACGGATGGGGTGGCAATGCTGGCGAGGTGAAGGCAAGGCTGCAAGAGAAGAAACCGGCTCTTCTTTCCCCCGCAGCATGGAGACATGGACCAGAAGGAGCGCGATGTGATCATGAGGGAATTCCGATCCGGCTCTAGCCGCGTCCTCATCACCACAGACTTGCTGGTGAGTGTCAGTCCAGGTGGCCCTCCTTTCCCTCTCTTCCCCCCCCCCAAGGAGATTCCCTCTCTGCCCGGCTGGCGCAGTGCTGTCGGCAGATTGTAGCCCCTTGGCAGAGGAAGGGTTGGCCGGGGACTGCCTTTCTCCACGGCGGGTACCAACAAAAAGGTGCCTTGCCACTGTGGGGCAGCCCACAAAGCCGGGCCTCTACCTTCCAGCAGGAAGGAGCTTTCTCAAGGCGCAGAGGTCTCTGTCTACCCCCCAGACCCACAAGTTTATTTCTGTTTGAGCAGTTTGGCAGGGTGGGTGCTGACTAACTTTGTAAAAGGCAGTCATGTTGATGCTGGCAGAAAGTCTTGACAAATGCTAACCTGAATCCACTGGTGCTTGGTGCTTCCTTGCCACTTCTGTATTGGGTGGACCTCCCAGCAGGAATGAGCTTTCTCAAGGCGCAGAGGTCTCTGTCTACCTCCCAGACCCACAAGTTTATTTCTGTTTGGCAGGGTGGGTGCTGACTAACTTTGTAAAAGGCAGTCATGTTGATGCTGGCAGAAAGTCTTGACAAATGCTAACCTGAATCCACTGGTGCTTGGTGCTTCCTTGCCACTTCTGTATCAGATGTCCGCCCCCACCCCCCTGTGAGCTCATCAGTGTGCCTTGCATGGCTTTCTGCCTTGCCTTAAACTGGAAACCCCCTGATGGGGCCAGTCCTTGGGTGTTCACAACTGCCCCCTTCTCCCTCCCCAGGCTCGTGGCATCGATGCTAACCTGAATCCACTGGTGCTTGGTGCTTCCTTGCCACTTCTGTATTGGGTGTGTGTGTGTCCCCCCGTGAGCTCATCAGTGTGCCTTGCGTGGAAACCCCACGATGGGGCCAGTCCTTGGGTGTTCACAACTGCCCCCTTCTCCCTCCCCAGGCTCGTGGCATCGATGTGCAGCAGGTGTCCTTGGTCATCAACTATGACCTGCCCACTAACCGTGAGAACTACATCCACAGGTGAGGGGACAACCTCCAAGGGAAGCTTTTCGGAGTCCTGCTTCTGGGGTGGGTGGGGGTCCCTTGCTTCTCTTCTCTGCCCGCTCACCTGGCCATCCTTGCCTCCCCCTCCTTGTCTTAACCCAGGATCGGTCGAGGTGGCCGTTTTGGAAGGAAAGGAGTCGCGATCAACATGGTGACGGAAGAGGACAAGCGCACACTGCGTGACATTGAGACATTCTACAACACCTCCATCGAGGAGATGCCGCTCAACGTGGCGGACCTCATCTGAGTGTCTCCCGTTGGGGCCCAGTAGTGCCTGCAACATCCAGCCCCCCCGAGGCACAAAATCCCACCCACCTCCATACCTGCCCTTTTCTATTTTTTTTTTTTTTGAGTTTTCTTGCCTTTTGAATAAATGTCACTTTTTTGGAGGCAAAATGAAAATCTTCAGTGTTTACTGGTGCTTTTCTCTGTCTCAATCTCTGCCCCTTCTACTTGTGTGACTTCATTTTGTAATTCAGTTGTCCAAAACGGCGCACCCCCCACCGGCCCCAGATTGAGAGAGACCTCCCCCCCAGGTATCATTGGAAGTGAGGAGGGACGTGGACGGCAGAAGCTGAGAATCCTTGGCTTCTCCCTGTCACTCCGTCCCCTCGTGTCCCCTCAATGATTTTGTAGTCTTTCAAATTGATCTTTCATCAGAATTGTGGTGCTAATGGAAAAAAAGCTTGAGAATTTAAAACCTACCTCAAAAAGGTGGTAGTTTTTTTTTCTCCCTGCCTCAAATCATTGGTTCAGACAAATTGCCAAGATGTGTTGCTCTTTTTTTTCTCTATATATGAAACAAAAGATCTTTTCCCTATTACATTTTTCTTAAAGTAGACAAAAAAAATTGAAAACTTTTCATACAACAAAAAAAAATCTGTGCGTACAACCTTACCCTTTTTGTATAGCTATTATTTATTCAAAAGGAAAGTTACAGTGACCAAAATAAACGTGATCTTGAGAAAAAAAAACTATTTGCTTCGGGTGGTTTTGTAAAATGTCTCGCTCCAGGGAGGGGAGTACCTGGAAGAGAAGCTTAACCTACAGAACGGAAAATCTCGCTTCCTGCAGGACTTTGGGGAGGGAGGGAACCGGTTACCTACTACAGTTGGGTGCTGTTTAGACACAACACCTTTAGGATTCTTACCTACTGCGTCAGTGGTGTCGAACTGTGGCCCTCCAAATGTTCTTGGCCTTCAACTCCCAGAAATCCTGGCCAGCAGAGGTGGTGGTGAAGGCTTCTGGGAGTTGAAGTCCAAGAACATCTGGAGGGGCCACAGTTCGACACCACTTTTTAAAAAAACTTGAATTCTCTGAGATGCTTTTTAAGGCTCCATCTTTAAAAAGCCATTTCACAAATTGGGGTGCAGCGTTAGCCGAGGGTGAAGCAGGTCCTTGGTTAATCTAGAATAAGGAGTATGGGCAACTGCTGGTTTTGCCTGAAAAACTAACCCTCTTGCCCAGCGTGGTTTGTCCCATGGTTGGTGTTCAAGGCTTGCAGTGTTGAGCATAAAACAGCCAAAAGTGCTGGTTCCTTCCCCCATGTGTGAGCAGTGTGTGCTTTTACTTTATGGTGTACAGTATGTGTTTTTTGCGAACATCTGCTCCCTTATCTTACTGGGATGAGCAAACCCCACCCTTGGCGAAAGGGTGGCTGGAGTGATTCAGATCAGTAAAGGAAGCTGGTCAGCTGAGGATCCAGAACAAAGCCAGTGGGGGGTGAGGGGGGGGTTGTGCAAATTTCCCACTTCTGCCTGGGCCTGCTGAGAAAGAGGGAGAGGAAATGCATGTTCACTGGGCTCCTCTGTGCTTTTGATTCAATAAGGCACCCAACCAGCCTTTAACCTTCCAGGAGAAACCCAGATCATCCTGACCTGGTGAGGGTTAGGGAGTGTATGCATGCATGCATGAAGGGGAAAATCCACAGCCTGCAATCTGTTCACTTTGCTGGCATTTCTCAGATGTCAACCCCTCAGCCCCAATCTCCTTGTTGGATGCTTTTGTGAATTTTTAAAGCCATCTTGAGGCAGAAGCTGCACAGAAACTGCTCAACACAACCCAGTCTAGCAGTTGGCACGGATGACGGGAGCAAGCTCGCTGTTCTCCATGAGGAGGTTGCAGCTTGCCATCCTTGAGAATTCTGATCCCCGTAAACGCGTCACGGACGACGGGGGCAAGCTCGCTGTTCTCCTTCCCATGAGGAGGTTGCAGCTTGTCATCCTTGAGAATTCTGATCCCCGTAAACGGTGCGGTTCATCTGTAGTTTCCCTTTTGTTCTTGTTGAAGCGACTGTGGCCATTTTCTCTTCTTTTAAAATCACTATTTCAAAATCCATGTTGATGTAATAGCCTCCCAGCTAAGAGATTGTGTAAAATGGTGGAGCTTACAGGATAGGCCCATTTCCCTATTTTTTTCCCCATTCTCCGTGTGCCAAACCCTCCCAAGAACCCTCCATGCTGGTTCGGCAGCCGCTGCAAGAGTGACCCTCCCCTCCCAGGAGGCTGCTGAGTTAAAAAAAGAATATTCCCCGCACTTAGAAAACAAAGCATAGGAGGCGTGCTCCTCCCTCGATTTCTAGCTGCAGGGACTATTTTGCCTAGAGAGCTTACTAAGCATCTGGAGCAGGAGGGGTCTTTTCTCCGTGCAGGGGTGAACGCGCTCTCTCGTGTGCCTTGTGCGGTGAACCTTGTGTTCCGGGTGCCGAGCGCCGGCTTCCCATCACATGAGAGTCAGACCTTCTGGCTGCGGTGGCCAAATGAGGAAGGCCAACGTGCTGACTCACCCGAAGGGGCCTTCTGGAGCCACTGTGAGGCATCATCCCCTGATGATCTTCCACGCACCCATTCCCTCTCTCTCCCCCCCATCCCAGGCTTGACCAGGCAGCTCCTGCGCCAAACACAACTTTGGCCTTCAAGGGCCAAAGGGTCCACCTCCAGCTGGCAAAGGCTGACCAAAGACAACCTTGGCCTTCCAGGCTGAACGTGCCCGCGAGGGGTTACGGGCACCAGACCATTCAATCCACAGCCTTAAGAACGGCTCAAGGTAGAACTTGGGAGAAACCTGAAGGATCAGGACATTTTTTTAAAAAGTGAAGTAACAAGCGGGACCCCAACTAGCTTTAGCCGCAAAATGAGTGGCCTTTTCTAGTTGTTTGCAAGGAGGACGGTGGCATCGCCTGCTCTGTAATCCCTCAGGTTTCCCTTTTTTCAAAGGAAAAAAAGAGTCCTAGAAAGCCATCAGCGGCACAAGGAATGGAACGCGTCACATTTCCAACACGGTCAGGAAGGGGGTGAAGATTTCTTTCCAGCCAGTGCCACGAGCGAGCGAGAGGGCATGCATTACTCCGGCTGCTGAAGATGGGAATAGACGCCAAGCCAGTTTGTTTGGAGGAAGCGGGGGGGTGCCCCCATGGAGAAGGGGCTTGGGGGGCACCATTGCCCCTTGCTGTCCACGGGCAGATTCCATAAAGGGTCCACCTCCAGCTGGCAAAGGCTGCCCATCGGAAATCCTGGCATGCCCCCTTGGGTGCCCGTACGGGAAAGGTGGATGCGAAGACAGGCGGGCCCAAGGAACAGGGAGGGCCCTGGAATAAGCCGCCTTCCTCTTCTTCCTTTGGGGTGGTGGGAGTGACCCCTCTGAGCCCATCCGCCTAGCCCCGGACGGGGACCACCGCCTCCCTCTGCCCGCTGGCCCCCTTCTCTCTGCCCGCTGGCATCGGGAGGACTTCTGGCTGCTGCAGAGGGGCTGGGCGGCCCCACAGTCCAGTGCCCGGTGCGGTCACTTCTGGACTGTGACCTCCGGCTGCGGAGGGCAGGCGGAGAGATGAAGAAAAGCCACTTTTCCAGCCTCTGCCAAAGGGATCAGCGGAGGAGGAAGGTCTGGAGTCTGTGGCCACTCTGACCCCCTCCGCCTGAGTCACTTGGTGGTGAAGGCAAGCCAGTTTCACTTCCTTCCCATTCTTCAAGCGTTCACGGCGGAGGAGGAGGAGGCAGCAGCAGAGCCGGAGCGGGACCTCCCCACAGGGCAGCAGCCGTTGGGAATCCGAGCCCCCCCGGCCAGGCAGACGCTGAGCTCCCCTCCGGAGCAATGAGACCCCCCACACTCCCTTTGGGGTGGCCCCTTTGGGCCGCCGGCTGGTGCATCCTCCTGGCAGGTGAGTGCTCTGCCCCCAAGGTCATCATCCACCCTCCCTTTCTATCCTCGGCATCGTTGGGTTGAGGGCAGCAGCTGGGTGTGTGTGTGGCTACAAAAGGGGCAGCCGATGGGGTGCTGGAGGGCAAGGAAGAGGGCAGCCGGGAGCCGGGATCGGAGCTTGGCATGGCGGCTCGTAAGCCGGGACCAAAGGAGGGACTGGTTTCAGCATCAGAACGGGCTTCTGGGCGGTCCCACTGCCAACCCCTTTCCCCAAACCGTAGTAAAAGCGAAGGGAAAAGGCCCCGAAAGGTCTCACCCTAAAGCCTGGGTCTTAAGATCAGCAGGAGAGACCTTTTTTTCTCAGTCTTGCCACCTTCACAGGATAGGTGCCTTCACTGTGGCTGCTCCTTTAGACTCTGGAACCCCCTGCCACTGGAGGCCAGCCTGCCCCCCCCCCCCATGGCTCTCCTTCTGCAAGCAGGCAAAAGACCTTTAGCTTCCAGGCAGGCCTTTCCCTTAATGACTGTCTGAGATGTGTTTTTTTTTAAATTCATTATTATGCTTTTTTTAATGTGTTTTTTAAGAGTGATATTTGTTTGATTTTTTTTACAGTATTTGTATACTTTTTGCTTTAAATATGGTCTTTTCATGATGTAAGCTGCTTTGGCTCCTTTTGAAGGAGAAAGGCGGGGTAAAAAAAATACTTTAAAGAAATAACTAAAATAATGAAATCTTTGAAGGAGAAAGGCGGGGTAAAAAAAAACTTTAAAGAAATAACTAAAATAATGAAATACCTTCTGAAGGCTGCCCGCTCCACAGCTGAGCAGCTCTTCCTGTCAGGATGTTTTTTTCCATCATGTTTAGTCAAAAGTTGATGATCTGGATCCTTGCCCTTCCCACAAAAGCTAGAGAGAACCAGCCTCCTCCATGTCCCCTGTTGCGACGGCCCTTCCAATCCTTCATGACAGGAGGTTCCAAGCCAATTTGAGGAAGAAGAACATCTTGCCAATCAGAGCTGTTTGGTAGTTGAACGGAGCACCTCAGAAAGCAGCGGGTTGTCCATCGGAGGTTGGGTGGCCGTCTCTTGATGAGGCTTTAATTCTGGATTTCCTGCCTCCGAAAGGGGTCAGACCGGGTGGTGTTAAAAGGGTGGTATTTGCCTTTTCTGCTGTTATGGGGACAGCTTACTGGCTCCCCACCCGCCTCCGCTTTCTGGTTTTTTCTTTTTAAAAGGGTGGTATTTGGCTTTTCTGCTGTTATGGGGACAGGCTAGCCACCCACAGCTTACTGGCTCCCCACCCGCCTCCGCTTTCTGGTTTTTTCTTTCCTTCCAGCTTCCCTTTCAGCTCAGGATGAAATCTCCACGGTGGGCCGGAAAGAGGAGGGAGGGCCCCCGATTTTCCCACCCGGCTCTGGTGATGGCTTTTCCGAAGCTCCCCTTTGCCCCCACAGAAAGAAAGCGGCCACTCTGGTGCCCTCTTTTACAAAGACCACCACAACCGTGCCACCCCATCCCACCACACACCACCCCATAAC